CCCAGCTACTTCGGAGGCTGAAGGGGGAGAATTGCTTGAACCCAGGAGGTGGAGGTTGCAGTGAGCCGAGACCGTCCACTGCACTCCAACCTGGCAAAAGAGCAAGACTCCGTCTCAGAAAAAAAATAAATTAGGCGTAGTGGCACACATCTGTAATCCCAGCTACTTGGGAAGCTGAGGCAGGAGAATCACTTGAACGTGGGAGGTGGAAGTTGCAGTGAGCTGAGATCACACTACTGCACTCCAGCCTAGGTGACAGAGCAAGACTCTATCTCAAAAAAATATTCAAAATGAAAAAAAAAAAAATTAAGCCCAGTTCTAAAGAGGGATCTTGTACCATGTTCTCCACCTAAGAAGCAATCTTTAATTCAAAATTCGATGTAGTTATTATGGGTATTTGAAATGGAATGCAAGTGTGTTTTGTGGGTATAAACATTATCTTTTTATTATATATGATTGTTGAACTTTGAGCTCCACAACACTTCACAACCTTGGATGTAAACATGAGAAAAAACACTAATTAAGAATCCTTACGTACCCAGTCCAGTGCTCCCTTAATTAATCAGAAACTGTTAAGTCCACTGCCTCTTGATTCCTTCCTCTGAGGTAGTGACTTTTGAACCAAGACATGCTTATCTTTTACCAACAACAGGGATGGTCTTTCCAAATAACATATTAGGGAAATAAGATCCCCTTAAAGTCAGGCTGGACTGGGAGCTGATGAACAAAGCTGTGTAAGTTAGTGTGTTTGCTTTGAAGTATTACAAGAAGTACACAGAGCACACATCTGGGTTATAAAAGCCCTTTTATAAAGCCATTTTTAAACAAAACAAAAAAAAGTTTACAAAAGAAAAAAAGATACAGAAAAAGAATAACTTGCTTCATATGTCCCAAAAAGAGAAAAAAATAAAGGGGACAATGCCAACATGCTCAACAATAAAGGGTTCTTTTTCTTATTTTTTTTTAATACAAAATACAAGCAAAGGATACACATACTTAAAACAGAGCTCAGGAGCAGACACGCAGTCCTGGAAACCCTTCAATAAAAGCAAAGCAGGAGTTTGTTTTTTCTTTGTCTATGCAGATACATACAGAGACTGGGATATGTAAAAATTAAGTATCACAAAAGACCATCACACGATTCTACCAATGCATGTTGCATCTATAATTCACGAACATGGTCAACAAAATCATGTCCACTTCAACCCCATTTCATTTAAATTAAAGAAAAAAAAAACCTTTTAAATAAAGTGGTTACATTCAAACTTTAACTTCCTTAGTACCATGCTGCAGATTTCAGCACTGTTAAGGTATTGCAAGAATGCCCAACCCTCTGTTGTCTGATCATGTATCTAGCAACATTGCAGTATGAAGAAAGAGATGCCCTGGTCTCAGCCCATGGACTAGTTTAATACAGTGAGGCAGGTTCCTGTCTTTTACCCTTCCTGCTCAGAACGTAAAGATTAAGGACTAAAATCAAGGAAGACTGGGAGTTTTAGAGTTGACAAAATGAAGTCTAAAAGGTAAATCAAGGCAAACAATTACTGAGAACTTGGCTGTTGCTTAACCTGGCAAGTCTAAAAGTCTTTCTTTAACCTTGTAGGAATTAGATGCATAAGGTTTGCTGCAACATGTTCATGGTAAACAAACTAAGTAGAGCTCTTATTTACAGATTTTGTAACAAATACTTCTGGAGGAAAAAGAGAAAAGAACTCACTAAGTTCCAGAAGACAAAGCTTTAATTGCCAGACGTATACACACACACTCACACATACACACCCACACAATACTTCAGGGGTTTTTATACATGTTATTTTAGGGCATAAGCTGACTACTATACCCCCACACCCCATCAAAAAAGGAACAAACAAAAAAAATCCCAATTTTACCCTCCCCCAATAATCTAGAAAACCCTCCCTTCACCCCTGATGTACAAAGTGTATGCACAATGGTGGCATTCTACCAGCCACACAAAGCATGCTCAAACAGATGTCACCAGTTCAGTCACTCCATTGGCATGGCAACAGGCAGGTTTACGGGATTTTTCCCAATAGTGGTTATTACACAGTCAGCACCACTGTGAATTTTGTGAATTTGAAAAAAAATTGTAATTTACGGATTCAGAATTCAAAAAGAATCATGTTATATCGAATTTATCCCAAAGGGAAGATGGGTTGCGACTGAAACTTGGCTATAGCTTGATGTCCTAATATTCAAACAATAAACCAACTCTCCATTTTCAAGTAAATCCAGCTTCATCCACAGAGAAATAGACAAATTTCTAACCTCAAGAGCAACCACCTTGTTACATTTTCCCTATCCTGTGGCAGGAAATGCGTTGCTTCTGTTCCATTTAAGTATCTCAGCCTAAATGCCATGAAGACTACAGCCCAGGTTTCTTCCTTTTCAAATTCCTAAGGTGAAAGTCTTTTTTTCAGTGCAGCTACCAACGATGCAGGCAAAGAACTGTTCAAACCAGCACTCATTCTTCAAAGCTGCAATGATGGCCACCATGATCTTTTATAAAGCTTTCCCCGTTGCTCCTGATATTTATTTTTGCTCTTGCCTAACACTCTCAAAGCATCTCGTAAACTGAAGTTCAAAGAAAAGCACAACTCCCTTCCCCAACCAGTACTCGAAAATCCACTTATTTGAATGTTCACAGATAAAAAAACCATAAAAAAAAAAGTCAAGTTCAGTCTAGCTGACCATATTCACAAGTTAAAAACTTTACTGGATTATAATCTCAAATTTTACTCTTTTGTTATCCATAAGGAAATGCTATTTGAGCCAGTACCAAGAATAAGTATTAAACTGAGGATTGAACTGGGGCAAACAAGTCACTGTGAAGTCAGTATGTAAGCTCCTTCAAGGGAAATCAACTACTATTCCTCAAAATTAAAAGATGTCCACACTCATTATTATTACCTCCCTAAAGGAGGAAACACCCATTAATTTTCCCTTATAGAATCAATGTGGAGTGGAGATATGAAATGGGGAGATGTTTTAGAAAGCAGGACAAATCTACCTACCATTACTGAAATTAAAATGTATCCTCTGGGCCCACTCCATTGATTCGTCTGAGGTGAGGAGGACTAAAAGCAGCAGCAGGTTACAGACAGATTGAGTAAGATGAAAGTATGCTACGTATGTCTAGCTGGGGAAGGGGGGGAATCTGGAAAAAAATCCTTAAGAACTAGAGTGTAGTGTCAGTCAGCAGAGCTGCCGAAATCTACGTCATAGAGGTAAACCTAGCAGAGCTAATACAAACAAGCACCTTCAAAGTTCACATCCCACTTCCTGAGCACTGCAAAATGCGACAGTGAATGCTATTGCCATTTCACCATAGGCACACTAGAAAAAAAGGGGAAGGTTAGTCAAGGGTGGTGCCAATGGCCAGTCAGTATCGGCTTACAGCTTGTAATACATCCTGACATCACTATCAAGCCTGACTATTGAGCACCTGTATCTAGTTGAGTCACCACCACTGTCCTCCTATTTGCATGCATGATTTGAGGGGAAGACTAGAGTGTTTTAAATCATCAGTAAAAAGAGGAGAAAACAAGGCTGGGCGCGGTGGCTCACACCTGTAATCCCAGCACTTTGGGAGGCCGAGGCGGGCAGATCACAACGTCAGGGGTTCGAGACCAGCCTGACCAACATGGTGAAACCCCGTCTCTTAAAAAAAAAAAAAAAAAAAAAAAAAAAAAAAAAAAAAAAAAAAAAAAAAAAAAAAAAAAAAAAAAGACAAAAGTGGAGAAAAGTTATTGAACCTGTCTCACTTGGGGACACAGATCCTTCTGTCCAGTCTATTAGAAATATAGAATACATTTTTCAGTCTAATGAATTAATTTTAAAAGGGACTCTAAACAAGAAGCCCAATCAAATGCACACAAGTAACCTAGAAGACATGATTACCTCTAAAATATGTGCATATATCACAGATATGTTAGTGCAGATTCATATATTAAAGAGACTGTTACACAAACAATTGAGGCTGAAGTTTTAAACATGCCCTCCCCCTCATTCTTCACGAAACATAGCCTGAGGAAAGCCCAAATGTTACTAGGAATGTAAGACTTAAAATTACAAATTCCTAAAAAATAGAAGTGCATGGTGGAAACACTGATAGGTCTTTTACCACATGGATACCTGAACAAACCCATTTAGGCAAATAATCTAACATCCTCACTACAAGGTTCACAACTGAATTTAACCATCACGAAAGAGAATGATCCAATTGCTATTTATGTTCAAGTCCTGTATTATTGGCCATGTACTGAAAACTCGTTATTCATTATTTAACACACAGTGCAATAGTGAAATGACTCTGCCACTGGGTGTTTTTAATTAAAATCAGACAAAGCATGTTTCTAGTAAACCCCAAAGTAGGATACTGAAGAAGCAAATCTAGATTAAAAGGCAGGAAAAAAAGGCAGAAGTTAAACTTCACTAATTTTTCAATTTATTAGCATACCCGGACCCTTTAAACCTTGCTCCCATAAGCGCCTGGTATCAGATGTGAAGGATCAAACCTATGGATCTATCTCCTGACTGCTTTTATAAGGCATTTGTAAAAAGTCTGTTGTCAACTGCACACAAGCCTCCTAAAATGCCTGGTTTCTCTAGTCCCTCCTGCTTTAAGCAGCATGAACAGTAAAGCAGGGGTTGGACCAACTAAAAAGACAAGAGCCAACTGAATCGTATGGGAGCAGTATTTAACACATTCCTAGTCAAGGACAGGATGGGAAGTAAGTGAAGAATGGGGCCAGAAAAACAGCATCCTATCGCAGAGGTGGTCGGCACTGGGGGTAGGGTGTGCAGTGATGCCCTACAAAGCAGCAGGATCACAGGGATGCATTCATATCACGTTTCTATGAAGAAAATGTTCTATCCCCAAATGAAAGCAGAGCATGGTTCATGGGACCTGAAAGCACATTTATAGCATAAAAGAATGTTAATTCTATTTCATAAAGGAAAAAATCTCAACTCTTTGTGACTGAGTTTCGCAATAACTGGAATTTTATTTGCTTAAAACCTAAACATTGTCAGTTTGAGAAGAAAGCCACTGTGACGTGTAGACTGATCTTGTCAATCAAATTCTAGGGTTTTTTTTTTTTTTTTGGATCCTTGGTAAAATCTTATCCAAAAAATAGGATACATACATATTTAGAGAAGGAAATATGAAATCAAGAGTGATTTCAGTTTTGGCAGCCCTGCTTTTTTTTAAAACTCCCTTAAGACTGTAGCAGGATAAAAGGATCACTGGCTCCGAGTCTTTTTGAGATAACAAGTGATGAAATAAAAAAGAAAGCCCATACCCTCAAATAAGGTCAGATAATGCTATTGCCCACCCTCCCCACAAGGTAAAAAATGAGTACTTTTAGTAACAGTTCAGAATTCATATTTATCTCTTATCTGCCTCATTAGTGGAAGTTTAAAGTACATGATTTTTTAGACATTGATATTTGTGTCTACAGACAAGTAAACTTGTATTAGATGACAATTGATTTTTCAAAAGTCCAGGTAGCGAAAGGAGCAATCATTTTGAACTAAAATCTTGCTGTGTTTTTGATTACTATTCAACTTACTATCGTTTATCAAAAAGCAAATTTTCCATAGTGTTCATCTCAAATCTTATTGCTTTACAACTGTGGTACACCTTTCATTAAAAATAAAAAGATGAAGCAGTCAATCCAGTGATTAATTTGACATGGCTTTCATTGGGAAAGGGGAGGGTTGGCAAAGAGACCAATAGACAAAAAGGTAAATTAAACACTTAAACATACAATGGTTTGCTTTAAAAAAAAAAAAAAAAGAGAGAGAAATGTTACTTTCAACAAATGGAAAAAAGCACTGAAAGCCCATGAGTCAAGCCATAGCCAAAACCATGTTCTATCTTAAGTAGGTTCTTTTTTTCCTCCCTCTTTTTTCTTTTTTTTTTCTTTTTTTTTTTTAATAAAATCTCTCCCCAGACCATCATCACTTTTAATCTTCCCCAGACGGGGCTTCATCTTCAGACCCTTCATCCCCAGATTTCTCGGGTGGGGGGCTTGTAGATGTTTTCTTTTCTGGCGGGCTTTCCGGTTCCTCATCTTCTTCTTTGGGAGAAGGAGTCTTTTCCTTTGATGCCTTTGAAGCTGTGGGGCGACCCACTTTCCCTTTGCCTTTCACTGGACTTGGCGTCACTGAAAGTAGAAAAATAATGTGGGGAAGGGAAGAAAAAAATGTCTTTAATAAAAATCAGCTACAAAATAAAAGAATCTGTAAGAATAAAATCTATAAAGACAATATGCAACTTACCAAAAACCAAGGTGGGCACAAGGGTATGCATATATCCCTAGGTAAATTTATCTCAATTTCTAAAATGTATCTCAATTTCTAGACAAGTTACTACAATATGCTGCAGTATTTCCCATCAGTCTTTACCAACACTCTAATATGACATTAGCAGTCATAACCTGTAATGAAGAAACGCCAGGCTACAGAATACGCACAACATCCTTCATTGTTTGTGAAGCTGTTGTTTATGATAAAAGTTGTTTATAAAAAGCTGGTAAAAAAGTGGGAAGGATAACAATTAATCTGATTAGAAACTGAAGCCATCAAATATATCTGATAGTCCATCATTCCTAACAGTAAGAAGTGATAAACAAAAGTTTAACAATGACTTGTTGTACCTAACGGAATAAAACCACCTACACAAAAAGCAAATCAATTTCTGATTTAGTTAACAAACTAGCTCCAACTAGAAGAATATCTGGCAGAAACAACTAGGGCTCAGAAAAAAATTAACTCATGTCATCAAGCGTGGTTTTATTCTGACAGCACAGAGGATGGGGTAGAGATCAGAACATGGATCTTAAACGTATTACTCTAGATTTCTGCATTTTCACAATTAAGTCTTTTCTGGCTGCTGAGACTGTGATACCAGTGAGGGAAAAAGAGCAGTAACAGCTATGATGATTCAGTGTTTCTACCACTATGCCTGAAACAAACAGATCATTCTGAAATCTTGCTAAAGTATGGCAATAATGGAAGAACATGCCTAGGTCCACCAGACTCTTAAACAGGCTAGTGTCTTTATTAATAAGAGATGCTTCCAGCTCCAGAATACAAGACCCTTTTAGATTTCTTGTATTCCTGCTAAACATTAGGCCAATGCCAAATCCTAATGAAGAATTTCTGTATCGAAAGTAATGGTTCTCAAAATTTTTAAAGCAGTACATTTAATTTCACTTCTGCAGAACTTACCTGTAGCCTTTAGCCTGGGTTTAGGCATTTTCTTTTCTTTTCTCTCAGGTTTGGACTTCTTAACCATTTTTTTGTTTTTCTTTTTTGAACTGCCATAGTCACTATCATCATCATCTTCCATCAGGAAATCTTCATCGCTGCCGGAATCTTCTGAGAAGAAAGAGGAATTTCAACAGCTAACTTAATGTATGCATCCTTCCAAGTGAACAAAAGAAGACAGTACTAAGAATGACTACAGAATGGGATTTGGGAGTCAAACACCCTTGGATTCTATTTGGAGCTGTACTACCAATTTGACTGGAGTCATCACTGGCTTCATTTGTCAAATGGATTTTGCATGCCATAAGAGAGCTACATGAGTGATGTGTTTGAAAAGTAGGTTGAAAACAGGAAGAGTAGGAGTTAACCTGAATAAAAACTGAAACCATCAAATGACTTTTGGTAGTTCCGCCACTTCCATGTAGTACTGGTTGAGACTAGGGAAACAAAACGGAACTGACAGGGCCTTTTTGGTCCAATTCTGAATAAGTGAAACAAGAAAACCCAACATGAAACAAAAATACATACAATTAACAAATCTGAATAACCTGTGAAACATCTAAATTTTGTGATTAACATTTTCTTCTGTGAAAAGAGGTCTACAACCTCCTCCACCAGGCCAAAATACAAATCTCAATCACAACGCCTAATGTGATTATTACTTAAGCAAATGTTCATTCAATGTCTGAACACAAACATCATTAAATAGAGTGCAAAGATTACAAATGGTGGGCAATCGTGAGAATCTCTGAACCTTTTAAAATATTAACAGGCACCAACAGAGTCATCTCTTTTAACAGGGAGTATCTACCCAATCTAAGGGACTGGCTGTAACATTTAGTATCGTAGAAAATGCCAAAGTAACCAAGATCAGAAACTACAATCACGACCAAACAACCAAACTACACAAACCAACTTCACGTACTCTCCTGGAACGGTGCCTCATCTTCCTCTTCTTGTTCTTCCTCACTGCCCACATCTTCCATGAGCATCTCCCTCTGTTTGGAAGCTGCTTTAGATGCTGCCTGCCGTTGCTGGCGCACATTTTTATGATCTTCTTTTTCATCTTCACTATCCTCTGCAATATTAGAATTATCATGATACAATGACTAAAGATTTTTATATTTGGCTAAATGGTGCAAAAGATTAATAATTGACTGAAAATGTAAATAACTGGGCCAGGTGCAGTGGTTCACGCTGTATTCCCAGCACTTTGGGAGGCCAAGGCAAGGCAGATCACAAGGTCAGGAGATCGAGTTCATTCTGGCTAACATGGTGAAACCCTGTCTCTACTAAAAATGCAAAAAATTAGCTGGGTGTGGTGGCGTGTGCCTGTAGTCCGAGCTACTTGGGAGGCTGAGGCAGGAGAGTGGCTTGAACTGGGGAGGCAGAGGTTGTAGTGAGCTGAGATCGTGCTACTGCACTCCAGCTTGGCTGACAAAGACTCTGTCTTGGAAAAAAAAAGCCAATGGAGTGGCCTATATAGGATACAATATGCAGCTTTGTTTCATTGTAAAAGGGCAAATTCTGTCCTTCAACATTTCTACAAAATGATGGAATCAACCTAAATGCCCATTAATGATAGACTGAATAAAGAAATTGTGGTACATATATACCACGGAATACTATGTAGCCATAAAAAAGGAAAGGAAATTATGTCCTTTGCAGGGACATGGATGGAGCTGGAAGTCATTATCCTCAGCAAACTAACACAGGCACAAAAGGCCAAACACTGCACGTTCTCACTTATAAGTGGGAGGTGAACAATGAAAACACTTGGACACAGGAAGGGGAACAACACATATTGGGGCCTGTGGTGAGGGAGGGGGCAGGTGGGGAGATGGAGAGGGACAACATTAGGAAAAATAGCTAATGCATGCTGGGCTTAACACCTAGATGATGGGTTGATGGGTGCAGCAAATTGCAATGGCACACATTTACCTATTTAACAAACCTGTATATCCTGCACATGTGCCCTGGAACTTAAAATAAAAATAAAAAAAAAATTCTACGAAATGTATAAAAGGGGACCTAAATTCACAAAGAATGAACCTGAACAAGACTATGTACCCACTATTACATATAAAGTAACATAGGCATGTAATTTTAAGCAGTAGCCAAGCTGAATTAAAGTGTGAACACATGCTTCCTATACTTTAGCTACATCACTACTTTGCTCTAAAATTCTCAATTACATTCAAATCTATGTTCACTGTTTTTGAAAGCTAAAGTTAGAAAAATGTCTTAACACGGTATGAAAGGGAAAGAATGTCTCTCAATCTTTAATCTAAGACATAAAACATGTAAACCCTAAAATAATGTCAAACTGTTACCCTTTACAATGAATGACTTGTGACCATTTCAATTTAGAGGGGATTGAGGAAAATCTTTAAAAATACATATTTAGGGCCGGGTGTGGTGGTTCATGCCTGTAATCGCAGTATTTTGGGAGGACAAGGTGGGCAGATCACCTGAGGTCGGGAGTTCGAGACCAGCCTGACCAACATGGAGAAACCTCATCTTTACTAAAAATACAAAAATTAGCCAGGCATGGTGGCTCATGCCTGTAATCTCAGCTACTTGGAAGGCTGAGGCAGGAGAATCGCTTGAACCTGGAAGGTGGTGGTTGCAGTGAGCCGAGATCACAGCCCTGCACTCCAGCCTGGGCAACAAGAGCAAAACTCTGTCTCAAAAAAAAAAAAAAAAAAAATACATATTGAGATCAATTAGTGAAAGATGTTTGGACAAGCCTGTAAAAAATTTACTTTCACATATTCTTAGAGTCTATTAATTTAAAAAAATTCTTTTGTTTAAGACAGAATTTCACACTGTTGCCCAGATTGGAGTGCAGTAGTACAATCTTGACTCACAGCAGCCTCTGCCTCCCAGGTCCAAGCTATTCTCCTGCCCCAGGCTTCTGAGTAGCTAGGACTACAGGCATGTGCTGCCAAGCCTGGCTAATTTCTTGTTGTTGTTTTTTGGTTGGTTTTTTTGAGATTGAATTTTGCTTTTGTTGTTCAGGCTGGAATACAATGGCAGGATCTCAGTACCCTGCAACCTCTGCCTCCCAGGTTCAAGCGATTCTCCTGCCTCAGCCTCTTGAGTAGCTGGGATAACAGGCAACCACCATCATACCCGGCTAATTTTTTGTATCTTCAGTAGAGAAAGGGTTTTGCCATGCTGGCCAGTCTGGTCTCAAACTCCTGACCTCAGGTGATCCACCTGCCTTGGCCTCCCAAAGTGCTGGGATTAGAGGCATAAGCCAGTGCACCCAGCCTAATTTTTGTATTTTTGATAGAGATAGGGTTTTGCCATGTTGGCCAGGATAGTCTTGAACCCTTGACCTCAAGTAATCCACCTGCCTTGGCCTCCCAAAATGCTGAGATCACAGGTGTGAGCCACTGTGATCAGTCTAAAAAAACAGATTTTTTTTTGGTTTTGGTTTTTGAGACGAAGTTTTGCTCTTGTTGCCCAGGCTGGAGTGCAATGGTGTGATCTCGGCTCACTGCAACCTCTGCCTCCTGGGTTCAAGCGATTCTCCTGCCTCAGCCTCCTGAGTAGCTGGGATTACAGGCATGTGCCATCATGCCCAGCTAAATTTGTATTTTCTTTCTTTCTTTCTTTCTTTTTTTTTTTTGAGACAGTCTCTCTGTGTTGCCAGGCTGGAGTGCAGTGGCACAATCATGGCTTACTGCAACCTCTGCCTCCCGGGTTCAAGCGATTCTCCTGCCTCAGCCTGCTGAGTAGCTGGGACTACAGGCACATGCCACCATGCCTGGCTAATTTTTTGTATTTTTAGTAGAGAAGGAGTTTCACCATGTTAGCCAGGATTGTCTTGAGCTCCTGACCGCGTGATCTGCCCGTCTCGGCCTCCCAAAGTGCTGGGATTGTAGGCGTGAGCCACTATGCCCGGCCAAAAAAATTTTTTTAACACACAGTGTGTGAATAAATTTCGTTAAAGGGTAGGATGCCAGCCTACTCCCTCTAGACTAAGCCATATTTGAATTAGTCTCTACCTACAGCCCTTTTCCTGAAGTTTTAAAATCCCTTATTCTGTTAAGTGGTACTTCTGCTGAAAATACTCCTAGTCCTATGAACCTTACCAGGTCAGTGTTCAAGTCATCTCTTTCACTTTCAAAAACCTCAACTAAAGACAAACAGAATAAAGCTGACATGGCAGACCCAAAACTAAACCCACTTGGTAGATGCTTAGCTTAATACTAGTACAGAGTTATTTATCTAGAAGTGCTCAATAAACTATTAAGTATAAGAGATTCAAATTAGGATTAACAAGGCAAATGAGTGAAAGCATATACTGTATTATCACAGGATCACTAGACTAGATAGTGCAAAAGATTAATATAGTTCCTTTCCAACTTAGGTAGCCAGATAGTATACTTGAATAGGAGAGAAAGTAAAAACAGCCAAGCAGAGAGAATTTAGCAAAACTTTTTATCTCCCCTTTGTATTAGTCAAACAGCAGTCTTATTTAAAGGGAGATCCAGGGAAACAGCAAGGAAATGTAGGTCAAAACTAACGTGGCTGGAAGTAATATGGATTAAAACTCTCAATTCTTAGAAGAATTAAATTTAAAAATAAATACCAACAAGTAGAATCATGGGATTGAATATTTCATTTGGCCATGGAGACTCCTCATTAGTTCACATTAATTCTTTTAAGTTAACATTTTTACAAAAAAAAGCTTCTCTATGGCCACTGTTTCAAAAGACTATGTCTCAGCTAAAAAGAGTGGGAATAAACCTTTCATTTGCTTTTCCACCTACAGTCCACCACTCTCTTTTTTTATGTTCCTATTTTACCAAGTTTTTTTTTTTTGAGTTTTGCTCTTGTTGCCCAGGCTGGAGTGCAATGGCACAAACTCGGCTCACTGCAACCTTTAACTCCCAGGTTCAAGTGATTCTCCTGCCTTAGCCTTCCGAGTAGCTAGGATTACAGGCATGTGCTACCATGCTCTACTTTTGTATTTTTTTTTAGTAGAGATGGGGTCAGGCTGGTCTCGAACTCCCGACCTCAGGTGATCCACCTGCCTTAGCCTCCCAAAGTGCTGGATTACAGGCATGAGCCATGTGCCCAGCCCCCAAGTTTTATATTTACACATTATTCAATTTGGTTTGATGTCTTTTGTTTATGTAAATCATTTCCAATATTGACCATGAATAAGAATAATGTGGAGATACTTAAAGAAAATCAAGCCCCAACATCCCACCTAGATCTATTTAATCAGAAATTTTGAGACAGGGCCCAGAATATACATTTTAAAAAAGATTCATAGATGACTATAATAAGTCACCAGGACTTAGAATCATTACAAGCTCTTTGAAGATTGAAACGTCTTTGTAATTCCAGATTTACAACACTGCCTGGCATAGAAAATCACTTACTAAAATGTCTAATAAAATAATATATAAGCAGAATTATACCTCTTACATTTAAAATAGTTTACTACCTGCTGAGTGAGAATCATCCTTCTTGGTCTTCACATCTTTTTCTTCTGAGTCCTCACTATAAAGGAAGGCAAAAACGTAAACGTTTAAAAGTCTTAGCTCAAAATCTAAATGAACATAGATCTCTTATTTCTGACTTGAGAAGAATTGAAAAATACCTCTTCTATATAAAATGTTCAAACAAATGCTAAGGAGTAAAACTGCTTCTATTATTTCCTTACATTACAGGGATGCTGGTAAGTAAGCACAATTTTATCTACTTGGCAAAACACTGCTTCCAAAGACCCAAAGGAAAAAAAGAAGGCATCTTACCACAGGCTGGAATTTTTTCACCTATGGATACAGCTTGGTTCACGATAATATTTAATAAGAAAAATATTCTTGAACAGAGGCAGAGTATAAAAATACTAAAAATAAATTACATAGTGTTAATGATGGCAAATAAAGATCACTAAATATACATGCTGAAAACTGCTAAAATATCTAAAATGATTAAAAGGAATTGCAGACCGGGCACGGTGGCTCACACCTGTAACCTGTAATCTCAGCACTTTGGGTGGCTGAGGTGGGCAGATTGCTTGAGGCCAGGAGTTTAAGACCAGCCTGGCCAACATGGTGACTCCATCTCTACTTAAAGAATACAAATATTGGCCGGGCATGGTGGCACATGCTTGTAATCCCAGCTACTCAAGAGGCTGAAGCAGGAGAACCACTTGAACCTGGGAGGCGGAGGTTGCAGTGAGCTGAGATCACACCATTGCACTCCAGCCTGGCTGACAGAGACTCCATCTCAAACAAAAGGAATTATAGTTCAGTTATATAACTTATAATATGCCTAAAAATTTACCTAAAACCAAATGGAAAATAAATTGATTTAATTATCCCCTGTTAATATTTCCTCCCAATATTTCTTTGCATCAGAAACATCAACATATGTTCCTGCCTGGTACCATGAAGAAAATAAAAGTGAGCTCAAAATCACAAAATAAGATGTTAAGGAGCTTCAAAGTTCGTATTATGTCCTCATAAGTCTTAACTCCGGAATCTGGATACTAGTATCCCATCTCTCTTTGTTAGTTTACATATTTTTAAAAATAGAGATGGGGTTTCACCATGTTGCCCAGGCTGGTGTCAAACTCCTTTGCTCAAGAGATCCACCCGTCCTGGCCTCTCAAAGTGCTGGGATTACAGGCATGAGCCACCATACCCAGCCCCCAGTAGTCCATCTCTTTGTCATTAGTTAGCTGTATGATCTTAAGCAAATCACTTGGTATTCTTTCCTCAGTGCTAAAATTTTATGATTCCATGAAAAATTCTGAAAAACAAAAGTAAAAAACTTGCACATAAAAACCGCATTCAAAGTTTTCCTTTCTCAAATAGCAGGTTTTATAAATCACTTTCAGTATCCCCCATAATCTAGACCACGCTCAAATAAGAAATTACTGAACTAATGTTATCTAACCAAAGAGAATGACCAAACATATTCTTTTACTAAGCAACCTGAGTCCAAGACACTTTATAATTCTGAAACCTATGACTATTCTGTATAAATGTTTCTTATGCAAAATAAGCACCAAATTCATAATTCTAACACAATGACAAATTATATTATTTTTTCAAGCTCTTTTATTGAGTTTTATAGACTACATTAATCTTTGAGTACCACTACAGCGAAGTCAAGTGAAGGCTGAACTTTGAAAACAGAAAAATCAACAGAGCACTAGTCTGGGAATAAATACACAAGGCATACAGATAGCAATAAAACCTGTATTTATTTCAATCCTTCCAACACTTAGAATAATAAAATCAAATGACTGCAACAAGAAAAACTGTAAGCTAGATGTTAATTATGGCAATGAGACATTATAACATGCCACAAAGCAGCTCTTTCCTAGGAGAAATATGATAATGAAAATGAATATAATAAAAAATAGTTCTGAGTTGGGCTGCCATAAAAAACTGTTTGGCTGGGCGCGGTGGCTCACACATTTTGGGAGGCTGAGGTGGGCGGATGACAAGGCCAGGAGTTTGAGACCAGCCTGGCCAACACAGTGAAACCCTGTCTCTACTAAAAATACAAAAATTAGCTGGGTGTGGTGGCACGCGCCTATAGTCCCAGCTACTTGGGGGCTGAGGCGGGAGAACTGCTTGAACCTGGGAGGTGGAGGCTGCAGCGAGCTGAGTGCCATTACACTCAAGCCTGGGTGACAGGGTGAGACTCCATCTCAAAACAAAACAAAACAAATCAAAACTGTTTTAGGCCAGACATGGTGGCTCACACCTGTAATCCCTGCACTTTGGGACACTGAGATGGGAGGATCACTTGAGCCCAGGAGTTTGAGACCAGACTGGGCAACGTGGCGTGAGCCCATCTCTATTAAAAACAAACAACAACAACCTACATATACCAGCATATGGCCATAACAGAAACTCTTGAAGACTTGTTTCCCAACAGTATAATTCTGTATTATTTTTCCTCAAAAGCACATTTCTGAAAATGCAAAAAAAGCATTAGAGGTTGTCAACTTTGGAGTCCAATAGATATGGTTTAAAAACCTGTTTGTCAGCCGGGCGCGGTGGCTCAAGCCTGTAATCCCAGCACTTTGGGAGGCCAAGGCGGGTGGATCACGAGGTCAAGAGATCGAGACCATCCTGGTCAACATGGTGAAACCCCGTCTCTACTAAAAACACAAAAAATTAGCTGGGCATGGTGGTGCGTGCCTGTAATCCCAGCTACTCAGGAGGCTGAGGCAGGAGAATTGCCTGAACCCAGGAGGCAGAGGTTGCGGTGAGCCGAGATCGCGCCATTGCACTCCAGCCTGGGTAACAAGAGCGAAACTCTGTCTCAAAAAAAAAAAAAACAAAAAAAAAACAAAAAAAAAAACCTGTTTGTCCATTTGCTGGATAATTTTGGCTACATCACAGAACCCCTCTAAGTTAATATTATGCATACAAATAATTTGAGATGTTGTGAGAATTAAATGATAGTGTATATAAAGCACATAATAGAAATTGTCACATAATAATCATAAACAGTAGCCATCATCATTACTATCATCACCATTATTACCAAGAAGGTCTTAAAGTTGTGCTACACTGAGTGTGACAATGTGTATACCTTTAACAACAGGGCAGAAATTACAATATTCTGGTCTTCCCTCCATTCCCACAGACAGAGTCTTGGCTCTGTCACCTATGCTGTAGTGCAGTGGTGTAATCACAGCTCACTGCAGTATTGAATTCCTGGGCTCAAAGGATCCTCCTGCCTTGGGCTCCTGAGTAGCTGGGACTACAGGCATGTGTCACCATTCTCAGCCAATTTTTAAATTTTTGTGTACAGACGTGGTCTCCCTATGTTGCCCAGGCTGGTCTCAAACTCCTGCTCAAGCAATCGTCCTAACCTAGGCCTCCCAAAGTCCTGGGATTACAAGCATGAGCCATGGTGCCCATCTAATATCCTGGTCTTATAAGACAAAGTTATAGTTAAAAATCATAGCTCATTTGTAAAACTAAGGGAAAAGAAACTTGCAAAATGATTAAATTATTTAAACAAAGGAGACTCGATTATGAGACAGCAAAATGCGACAGGCTATACTACAAGTTTAGTTATACTTGTGCCAGTGATTTGTGACTGAATGGGATATATCACTTATTTTTTGTTATCACTACAATGAAAGTATCAATATTAACCTTAGATAGCTAACGAATTACATCCTCAAGCACAGCCTGAGATAATATGAAATATGCAAAATATTAAGTGGACAGTAAGTACTTTTCAAAAGTATATGAGATTTCAATAATTTAGAGATCAGAGTGGTGATCTCATCTCAGAGTGGTGACAATATAAGTGGGAACAGAAAAACAACGCCTCTTACCTATCTTCCTGTGAATTCTTTCCAGATCGCCTCTTATTTTTAGCTTCTCGGGGAGATGATCGAATTTTCTTAGTGGGAGGGCCCGAATCTCTTCCATAATCTTCATCTAAACAGTGTTTTCAAATTTAATTAACTATGATTTTTACATGTTAAAATCACCACTATATATACTTACTGAAATAATTATCTCTCATGCTGTTTAAATGGTGAGAGGAGCAGGATTTCCCAAATAGTTTCTTTCATTTTTAAAAACACTACAATTATTTCCCACCCAGTCCTACCACATTAATTTCATTTTTCCATATTACCCTCTAGTCCTCATGTATATATTTCATCTATCTATAGCTAACCTTCTATCATTTTATACCCTCCCCTTTTGATTTCAACATCTTCACACTTATTTGAAAATTATCAGATTACGATTACATTACAAACGTTTTAGGAAGTAAACACAATTACTATTACTAAGCAAATTACTTTTAAAATATTAAATATAAGATACTCTTGCCTTTGAAGAAAGTATCTCCAATTTCAAAAGCCCTATAAAACTAACGAAAATGACTCTCTCTTAAAAGGAAATTATTTCCAAAGCTGTTTACTGCACCATTTATGTACATACACACACACACACACACACACACACACGCGTGTGATGTTATTAAATGGTTAGAAACATTATAAATTCCATTATGGGATATTACATGACCACTGATAGGAATTTTTCAAATACCTTTTAATAGCATAAGAAAAATACTCAAAACAGAAATAATAATAGGACATCCCATATTAACGAATGATTCTAAGGAATTATTAAATACAAACATTTGAAACAATTCCTGACATGTAGCAAGCATTTTATAAATATTAGTGCTACATATTACTTTTTTTACTCTTCTTTATATCTTTCAGCATTTTCTAAGTCTTCCCAAAGGGTGGATATTATCTTTATAAAGAAAAGTTAGATTAAAAAGAAAGAAAGAAGAAAAAACAGTAAACATATCTGGAAAAGTAATGAGATTAAGGAGACAGCTCTAAAAAAATCTCTTATGGCTAAGAATTAGCTACAACACTCATTCTAAGATGGATTAGTTCACAAATCAAAATTGTTTCACAAAACAGACTCTCATCTTAGTTGATTATGTAAAAACATATCACAAAGCACAAGTTTTATTGTAATAATAGCAGGGTTTTTTTGCCCCTAAAGTGCTGAGATCACAGGTGTAAACCACTGCGCCTGCCCTGTAGTGGATTATTTTTCTGGGCTCAAGTGATTCTCCTGCCTCAGCCTCCCGAGCAGCTGGGATTACAGGCGCACGCCACCACGCCTGGCTAATTTTTGTATTTTTAGTAGTGATGGGTTTCACCATGTTGGCCAGGCTGGTCTGGAACTCCCGACCTCAAGTGGTCTGCCCTCCTCGGCCTCCCAAAGTGCTTGGATTACAGGCATAAGCCACTACGCCCAGCCGAAGGTATTTTAAGTAATGAACACTATATCGGAATTACTGGACATTTAAGCTTTGGACTCCAAAACCAGGTCAGAAAAAAACTGTTTAATGTTTATTATCAATGAAGGAAAAGTTAAAATCCATGTAAGTTCAACTTTTGCTTTGGTTGATGCAGATCATGATACAGTTTTGGTAAATACTCTGAAAATAAAAAAGTAATACTTATTCCAAAAGCTTGATGAAAGTAACCTCCACGGGTCAGTCCGACTTAAAATTTGTTGAAACCACAAAACTTACCTGCATCATCAGATTCCTGAAACTGTGAGTAATCAACAACCTTCCTATTTCTGTAGAAAGAAGAGACTCTAATTAAAATCATAAAACTGTAAGATTTTTCGAAGACATCAGAACACATTTCTCTTTCATAAACAGAACTAAACTAGCTCTTTGAAAATTAATTAGTTAATTTTTTGAGCCAGGGTCTCACTCTGTCGCCTAGGCTGAAAAGCAGTGACACAATCATGGCTCACTACAGTCTTGACCTACTGGGCCCAAGTAATCCTCCTGCCCCAGCCTCCCAAGTAGCTGGAACTACAGACACATGCTGGCTATTTATTTTAATTTTTTGTAGAGACAGTGTCTCCCTATGTTGCCCAGGCTGGTCTCAAACTCCTGAGCTCAGGCCATTATCCTGCCTCAGGCTCCCAAAGTGCTGGGATTACAGGCATGAGCCACTGTACCCAGCCGAAAATTATTTTTTAAGGGCCCCCACTTAAGTCAAAGTACTTCATATTCTGTTACAAGAAAGCATAGCTTAAACCATAAGTATGTCAAACTACAATTCTCATACTGCTCATCTCAGTGATAATTCAAATTCTATTCTTTTCTCCAAAACAATCTCCCATCTCTCAAAATAAGTATACATAAAATAGCAAAATAAGCCAAATCACCATGTACCTATATATTCATTATATTCAGATACCATATTTATAAGCCATCATTGTAAATGTTATTTTACACAGGTACACAAATATATGTATATGTATACTTGATAAACAAGGTTATTACTAAGCTTTTGATAAATAAGGTTATTACTAAGCTTTTCAAGGCAAAAGCAATTTTTAGGTATAGTATAGTTACATTATAATACACAAAAAATTATGGTAATGTTAAGCCTTATACAGAAGGGGAAGGAAAAAAATTCATTGGTCCGGTCAAAAGATGCTTTATTACAAAATCAAAACAGTGAGAATATTTGCAGAATCTATTTGACTCTTAATGATTTTAAGTGCTCCCTATCAAGTAAGGTATCTTTAACATCTCAAACAAATCTTCATTTCTATTTTGGTACTTTGCATTCTAAATCTAAAAGTTTAATATTCCTTCTCTAGAGATATATATATATATATACCTCCATGTTAGTACCCAAACAGCCTAGCTGGCAAAAGAGCCTTAGATTTAAAACTCCACTGCTACTGTAGGCCTAAATCGATCAAGTGAACTTAAACAATTAAGAGAAGGCTGGGTGCAATGGCTCATGCCTATAATCACAGCCCTTTGGGAGGCTGAGGCGGGCAGATCATGAGGTCAAGAGATCGAGACCATCCTGACCAACATGGTGAAACCCCATCTCTACTAAAAAAATAGAAAAATTAGCTGGGTGTGGTGGCGCGTGCCTGTACTCCCAGCTACTCAGGAGGCTGAGACAGGAGAATTGCTTGAACCAAGGAGGCAGAGGTTGCAATGAGCCAAGATCGTGCCACTGTATTCTAGCCTGGGTGACAGACTGAGACTCTGTTGCCCAAAAGAAAAGAAAAGAAAAGAAAAGAAAAGAAAAAACTATACTTAAACCTGAACAGAGAGATATTCTTAGTTGTATAGATTAAGACACCATTTCAATTCAAAGACAGGATGGTCCGAATGCAAACACTGGTCTACCTTCTAGTTTAATAATATGTGGATGGGGTGAATTCTGGAGAAAAAAGGCGTAAGCTTGTATGTAGAGGAAGATATAGTTACAGACTCAGCATTAGAAAGAGAAAAAACAAGGCTCTTATGGAGCTCTGCCTTCTGTTTTTCTTTAGTTTATCAAAGCTATAAAATATACTTCAACTACATATTTTATTATTAGAAGCTGTTTATATTACCAAAGATACCATACTATTAGGAAAATTAACTTTAAGTATGACTATTAATTCCATCTACATGAGGGACCTAGAGTAGTTGAATTCAGACAGAAAGTAGAGTGGGGTGGCCAGGGGCTGGAAGAGTAGGGATGAGGAGCTGTTGTTTAATGGGTTTAGTTTCAGTTTTGCAGGACTGAATTCTTTACACCAATGTCAAGTACTTAACAGTACTGAACTATACACTCAAAAATGGTTAAGACGGTAAATTTTATGCTAAGCATATTTTATCAATAAAAATATATTTTCTTTCTTAAAACTATGACTATGAAAAAATCCAGTATTTTGAGGCTAACAGGGAAATGCCTGCCATGTTAGCCACGTGATTTTTAATCACAAATACCATGAAAAATAGTATGATGATCATAACGCAAAAGAAATGGGTCACAGAACCAGGGGAAGGAAGGTATCCAGAAGAGGATATCTTAAATCTTATCTTCTAATAATTAAAATTCAGGTTCCAAACTTGTAGGTATAATTCTAGCTCATCCCATGCTTGTGGGCTGGCAACTAACATATTATTACCCAGTTTCTGGGTGCCACATAGGAATGGATATATCCTGAGACTATATAAGGGTGGACAACCAGAACGGTACACAGTATAACATATGAAGAACAAATGAATAAATTGAGGATATGTAACTTGTAAAATGAGAAAACACGTTAGCTACTTTAGGGCTTTGGTGTGAAATCGGTAGTAAAGGTACTGGGTAGCTTTAGCAATCATATTAAATGGGGGTTCGACATAAAGAGCTTTAACTTTGCTAACAATAGCTACTTCCTTAGTCTATCACCAGAAACACTCCAGAAAGTTATTAGTACAGAATCTTTGTACTAGGAATCCTGGATTCTGGTTCTAGGACTTCAAGAAAATCATTTAATTTATCTGGACCTTAGTTCTTCCTCTGTTAGAACTGATAACCTAAGTTGCTTGACAGAGCTAAAAGATATTCTATAAAATTAAATAAGTTTAAATAATAATTTAAATGATAAAATAAATAGATAATGTAAATTAAATATAATGGCAGGCATTATATTAAAATATAATACAGAAAATGGTCACTGCAAATGATCCTAATATCGTTTTTTTCCATGGCATTTATCATTAAAACTTAACTGCCCTTCACAACAGAAGAAAATTTAGTCTCCTCCTTCTACCCTATATATCTATCTAGACAGACCTAGCTACCCATCATCCATCCATCCATGGAGACAGGGTCTTGTTTGTACAATCATAGCTCACTGCAGCCTCCAACTCCCGAGCTCAAGTGATCCTCCCACCTTAGCTTCTGGAACTACAGACAGGCACACAGCCAACATGCCTGGCTAATTTTTAAAAATTTTTTTTGTAGAGATGGGGTCTTACTATTTCCCAGGCTGGTCTCAAACTTCTGGCCTCAAACAATCCTCTCGCCTTAATCTCACAAAGTGCTGGGATTACAAGTATGAAGCACTACGCCTGGCCTGTAACTTGTTACTTTAAACCTAAGACATTAAAAAGGATACTCTTTATTTAGTACATTTTTGTCTATCCTATTTTTCAACAAAGAGAACTAGAGAAATGCCATGTAGACTATATTGGCATTACATAAAAAATTAAATTTCAAAATTAAATGGAAAGACTGTCCCTTCCATTGAAATATGAAATATTTTAACTTTCAGTGATCTGAAAACAGCCAGAATTATCTCATATATTGCCATTTATCACAAAAACTATAATATCAGTATAAAGCAAAATATGAACACAGAAGCAATTCTGCCTTATTAAGGGCAACCAATCAGAAAAAAATACAGTCATCCATAAATGCTATAAGAGGGAAAAGATAAAATAATTTAAATAAATAAAAGATCTGTGATAACAAGGGCCATTCATGACTCATAATGACTTAAAAAATTAGCAGGCCGAGGTGGTGGTCACCTGTAATCCCAGCTACTCGGGAGACTGGTGCACAAGAATTGCTTGAACCGCTTGAACCCGGGAGATGGAAGCTGCAGTGAGCTGAGATTGTGCTACTGTTGTCCAGTCTAGGGGACAGGGTGAGACTTTCTACCATTTAGAGACTTGCTTTGTCTAGGGTTGAAATATATTTTTGATGAATTTGTTCCTAATGAGATGACAGGACAGAAATCCAGCATTTAAGAATATTTAAGTCCCAGGGAATGGGAGGTTCTATTTCTAGGTAAAAACAAAAAAACATTCTAATTTCCTCAAAATATAGTCATGTGCTGCATAATGGCATTATGGCAAACTGCATATATGACGATGGTCTCATGAGATTATTATACCATATTTTTACTTTATTTATCTATGTTTAAATATATAAATATCTACCATTGTGTTACAATTATCTACAGTATTCAGTACAGTAACATGCTATACAAGTTTGTAATCTAGGAGCAATAGGCTATACCATACAGCCTGGGTGTGCAGAAGACTGTACCATCTGGGTTTGTGGAAACACATGCTATAAGGTTTGTAAATCACCTAAAAATGCAGTTCTGAGAATGTATCCCTGGTGCTATGTGACACATGATTGTATTAAGTTAAATGCCAAAGCTAAATTAACTCTTCAGTGTAAAATGAGTATTAATAACTAGAACTGGAGGATAGCATAAAATTTCAATACAGCACAGAGTTTAAAAACACAGATTCGGGCCGGGCGCGGTGGCTCAAACCTGTAATCCCAGCACTTTGGGAGGCCGAGGCGGGTGGATCACGAGGTCAAGAGATCGAGGCTATCCTGGTCAACACGGTGAAACCCCGTATCTACTAAAAATACAAAAAATTAGCTGGGCATGGTGGTGCGTGCCTGTAATCCCAGCTACTCAGGAGGCTGAGGCAGGAGAATTGCCTGAACCCAGGAGGCAGAGGTTGCGGTGAGCCGAGATCGCGCCATTGCACTCCAGCTTGGGTAACAAGAGCGAAACTCCGTTCCCCGCCAAAAAAACAAAACAAAACAAAACAAAAAAACACATATTCTTGAATTTGAATCCTGACTCTTACAAGTTGTATATCCTCAAGCAAGTTACTTCCCCTCACTGAACTTCAATCTCATCTGGAAAAGAGGAACAACAATCCCTCTCAAAAGCGTTGAGAACATTTAAGAACATTTATGCAAGGTATACAAATATCAGTAATAGCTATTATTATTTATAAGTATTAA